CAGTGAGAGCAGGAACACAAGCAGGGGGAGTGGGAGAGGGAGAAGCAGGCTTCCCACTGAGCAGGGAGCCCGATGTGGGACTCGATCCCCGGACCCTGGGATCATGACCTGAGCCAAAGGCAGACGCTTAACGACTGAGCCACCCAGGCGCCCCAGTCACTCCTTATTCCTCCCACCCTCAGCCTTTAAGTGATCACTGATCTAATTTCTGTCTCTCTATATTTTCCTTTTCTGGACATTTCATATAAATGCAGTCATATGTGGTCTTTTGTATCTGGCTTTTCTAATTGAGCATGTGTTTGAGGTTCAGCATCCTAGTTGTGGCCAGTGTTGGTGGCTCAATTTTTTTTATTGCCCAATAAAATTACATTGAATGGATATACCTCATTCCACTTACCGTTTTATTTACATGTGAATTATTTCCTATTGGCTGAATGAACCGTGCTGTATAAGTTTTTATCTGGACATACTCTTTCATTTCTTCAGGGTACATGCCTAGGAGCGGAATTGCAGGGTCATGTGTTAACTTAATGTTTAGCATTTTGAGAAACTACCAAACTGTTTTCGCAAGTGGCTGCACCATTTTACATTCCCACCGTCCATGTACGAGGGTTCTGGTTTCTCCACATCTGAGCTTCGTGAGGGCGGGAATGCTAGTCTCAGATTCATCTTTACGTGCCCAGGGCCTACCTGGGGCACACCACGCAGAGGCTGTTGATGAGCATTGCTTGGCTCGCGGGACTCTCTTAGCCCATGCTTCTCACTTTGTTCCTTTTCTCCTTCTTTTCTAGGGACTCAGCTGGGAGTTTCCAGTTGTCTGGAAAAATGCCGGAAGAGCTCGCCAGATGCTGGGAGGCAGCCCTTCTCTGGAAAGTCCTTTTATCTGGATCTGCCTGCCGGCAAAAGTCTCCAGTTTTTGACAGGGGCCATCCAGCAGTTCGGTGGGGTATGTAACCTGCCTCCAACCCGTGATGTCATGTGCCTTTGTGAGTTATAGGGCAGGAGCTGGAGAGGGATTCTGTCTGTGACTTCCAGGTATTTTCAGTGGGACGGCTACATTTTCCAAAGCCACCCTTTTTCAAAATAAAGTTAGGGACGCCTGGCTGGCTCAGTTGGTTGAGCGTCTGCCTTTGGCTCGGGTCGTGATCTCAGGGTCCTGGGATCGAGCCCCACATCAGGCTCCCTGCTCAACAGCAAGTCTGCTTCTCCCTCTCCCTCTGTGATCTGTCTTGCTCTCACTGTCTTTCAAATAAATAAAAAAAATTTAAAAGTAAAATAAAGTTAAAATTTTTCCCAGTTAGAAAAAATATTATCTGTTCATTTTAGAAATTTTGTAGAACATGGAACTGCTCCAAGTGAAAACCATCATTTTGATATATTTTCTTCTGGATTCTTTTCTCTCTTTCACAGCTTTATTGAGATGTAATTCATATACCATACAGTTCACCCATTTATTTATTTTTTATTTTTTTTAAAGATTTTATTTATTTATTTGAGAGCGAGAATGAGAGATAG